AACACCATGAAATTTGTACCATCCAGTCCAATGGAGTGGTTATGCTGGTGCCAGATCAGGTAAACCTCTGCCTTGACCYATCCTTCTGTGGTGTATAAACTGGTTTCTTATTGATAAGGAAATATCCTTGATATTTGGAAGCTGAGAAGTCAATTAATGGTCTGATTTTACTGGGAAAAAATGATGTATTTTCAGTCCTAGTGGAAGAGCATAGTACAGTGTAGCRTGCTGCAGAGGGGATGTAGAAAATGCGTGTTTTTTTGGTCAGAGATGCATTTTGTCTCCTGTGATTTGGCCAAGAAATCCTGTGGATTATTTCCAGGGGAATGCTGAGGAAGAGCTGGACGTTATTAACTTTATGCGTAACTCAGTGAATCCAGTCCTTCATGCCATTTTTATGTGTTTGTAATTTAAGTGATTTAAGTATTTGTGATTTCTATGAAGCTTCACATTTTCTGTTAAAAATTTCTTGCTCTCCGGGTTATAAAGTGTTGTTGTCTGTGTTACAGATTCTGAGATGCAGCAAAATAGCAGCTGTTAAGGTTACAGAAATAACAGAACAGATTCAGAAAGCCTTGGAAAATGATCAGAAGGCCAGGTGAGTGTTTTGGGAACAGAGGAACATGGATATTTTTAAGAAATGTAGTAAAAACTAAAGTCAGGTTGTGGTTTCAACAGCAAATTGTCTTCACTTGTATTTGCTTKAAATAGCAAGTATTTCTGTATTTGAACTTGAAAAGAGAAACCATTTCTGGATTATCCTGAAATAATGTCTGTTGCTGAATGACCAGGAAAGAAGGCGGGAAGTTTGGCTTTGCTGAATCCATCCCCTTCCAAAGGATCACTGCCTTCAAAATGGAGAGCGCTGCTGTGGACACCAACGACGTGGAAGAGCAAGCTAAAGAAATCATTGCTAAAGCTGACCCTCCTGCAGAAGTGTATCTTTTCCAGGGTATTACTCAGGGGAAAACCAGGCTAAACAGGCATCTAGGATTCCGTGTAACTTAGGTAGTCATAGAGCCTTCAGAGGAAACATCATCATCCTCATCCTGGTTTTGGTTCTCTCTGCTTTTAATTCCTTGCACAAAGTGCAGAGCCGAGGTCAGAACTGTGATGATTACAGTGACTGGAAAAGTGGCACTCTTAATTCCCCATTAGGGTTGTTCTCCCCCACCTTAAACACCACCTGGTGGGCTTTGACAATACAAAGAATTTTACCAGCAAACAGCAAAATTTTTCTTAACTCCTGCAGTTTWTCCAAACCAGTATTGCTCGCTGCTGGGACAGCCCAAATTGGAGAGGGAGTAGAGAACTCCTGGGGAGACCTTGAAGAATCTGAGAAAGAAGAAGCAGCAGAGGAGGAAGGTGAAAGTGAGGCAGCTGCTTTTGAATGTCAGAAAGTRGAAACTGAGGATACAACGAGAGAAATCAAGAATGGTAAGTATTTGTTTTTCTTGGTATCAGATATTACTGTATCACTTTTTATCTGCTAGAATTAACATGTAGAAAGTCCTTAGGAAAAAAGAACCAATGCAGCCACCTATACACATTTGCTAATTCCACTTGATTTCTGTAGTATAGGTAGGGCTGCAAATGGATCAGTAGCCCCTGTGAATGCTTCTTTAAAAATGCTGTGGTTATTAATGAAAGAAGTGTTTAAAACTGATCACCAGGTGTGATTGGTGGGGTTTGTGTGTTTTTCAGATGAACCCGTTGTACTGTCGGACAGTGAAGAGGAAGAAGTTATCATTCTGGAACCACAGGAACTACCAAGGAAAACAAGGTAAAATAAGGAGTGAATATTTCACCAAGTGAAGTAAGGAGGGCAAGGGAGTTAGTAAGGAGTGTTTCTACAAATGACAGGATTCTGGCAAGGCCAAGAAAGGTTTCAGTTGATTAAAAGGAATACAGAGCTGAGAACAAGGAAATTTAAATCTAGGCTAGTTCATTCCCCTCCTGGAGGGCCAGAGGCTGACTSGTCAGTGGCCATCTGAAATGGTTATAGATGTTTGATTCATCTTAATCCTTCCAAAGGGAGTAGGACCATAAAAGTGGATCCCAATCAGCAGCTCCTTGGAGCTCCTGCAGAGATTCTATGTGCTGCACTAGAGCTAATGTTGAGTTTTACCTCCAGCAAGTGAGATTTGCTGCTGTATCATTGCACCAGCCATGGAAACCCTTGGCATTGAGCACAGTGAGAGGTTTTTTGGGAAACTGTTCAGTAARTTTCTCTGATAGTTTCTGTTCTGAAAGTTTCTGTGTTTGCTGACAGAACACAGACCAGCTCCAAACAAGAAAATACAACTAAGAAAGCATTTAACAAAAGGAGAAGAAAGAAGAGAACTTCTCGGTAAAGCCCTCATCCCACCTGCAGGAGTGCTGTATAATATGGATTTTGGTCTGTTATTACTGAGCTTATTTTTGTAGATAATCTTATTTCCTCCCCTCCATTCCTTTAATACCTGCTTTTATGTATATGGTAAAACTATTGTACACAGATTTAAATAAAAAAAAAATAGTGCCTGTAACTGAAATTCCATGTTTAGCATCCAGCTGCAGCAAAAGCTCATCTAGTTCAGCTTCCTTCACAGTGAAAAATCAAGCTGCTGGGATCAAAACTTTCTTGCCCCTGTTATTCCACAACTTCCCTTTTAGTCAGCCTTTGTATGAAAAATCACCAGAAATGCATGGACTTGACAAACTAGCACAGAACCTCAGCAGCGGAGTTTTTAAAAAAGTTTAATTAAATATTACATGCAACAGACAGGAATGCTTCTTGAACTATAGGCAAAGATTTACGCTCTGAATTTAGGATCAGGCAAAACAAAGAGACAAGGAGGATTCCARAATACCTGATCTGGGCGCTTTGTTTGCAAACAAGTGACACTGGAAACACACACATATTTACAGAATGAAGCAGGGCTATTTTACACGTGACCTCAGTGTTTGTTACATGAGCTGTGAACAAGAGAAAAGTTACTGTTGCAGATCTTCATCGGGTTAAGAACTTCATGAAAAAAAAAACAACATAAAATTGCTCCCAGCCAGGCAAAGCTTGAATCAAGTTGTGCTCTTTCAGAAAGGAACCAACACACAACCTCCTCTCTCCAGGAGCTAAACCAGTGCATATTCATAGTGTCAGTTCTTCCAACCCAAAGTCACTGTCCTGAGTACAAAAGATGCCGTTCCTTCTGAATTCTGTAGTACCACAAGACTGGAAAACTTCTTCAGGAAAAAGAACAGGGTTTTTTGCACTGCTGTTTCACTCTTCTTCCCACATAACATTCTTCCCTACTTTCCTAGAGCCTTTAGCTGGAAATGACTAGAAGATAACCTGAATAGKCTTAACAGTAGTACAGTACAACCTGGGATATTTTGTTCAAAGCTTAGAAGCAAAAGCTGGAATTATCCCTTAGTAACTTTGGAAAATGAGAAGGTGGAAAAGGACACTACTTAATTGCAGAAGCAAAAGCTGCCCTGAGAAAGGAGGAACATTGACATCGTGGATAGAGATGCCAGCCCCTGAATGAAGATTTTTTTGTTAGGCTGCAGAGGAAGTTATGTTGATAGTGGTGAAGATAAAGCTCAGGGAGCACAGAAGAATTTTTTTCTGTGCAATGGGGACAGTAAGGGAACAAGTTCCACTGAAACTCGAGCAGAGCCCTTTGATAAAGCACTAAATTAATCCTAAAACCCACYGAAGTYCTTTCATCTAAGTACTGCTACTTKCTCTTGWTCTGGAGAAAATYAYTGAGCTTGCTTTAAATTACCCCTYCTCCAATTTCATATTTYTCAGTGGTCTTGGAACACACCACASAAAGGGGAAGGCAGAAGCCAGTTTCCCAGGAAGAGCACTGGGRCCTGTTATCTTCAAATGATAGCTGCCAGTCAGCATTGCTAGTTATCCTTCCAAGGTCAGAGAGAGAGGAAAACAATTCCTCGCTGTATAAACTCCCTCTCCTGCAAGGTTAAAGTGTTTCCAAGCCCAGGCACCAGCCATGATACACTGCACAGCCTGTCCCCAGTTAGTTTTAGCATTTCAATAACAGCCTAGTGAAATTAATCTAAATAAAGGCTGTCGGGCAATGAAATGTGGTTCATTAACCATCAGAACATGCATAACAGTCCAAGTACATCCTGAGAAGCTCAGATTGGCCAAAAAGGGCACTTCTGCTGCATCTTTTGACCAGATTTCTGACCACCACTTGACTCGATTGGTTTTGTAATCGAGGTGGTTCAGGGAAGGCTCAGGCTGCAGCACAAGGGTGGGGGCAGAATAGTAATTTTGYAGTAGCTGAATTGAGACAGACTTGCCTCGCATTAACACCTGCTKCTCAGCCTGACAGATAATGATTTTAAAAAAAATTATTTTTAATAGCCCACACCCAAACAGCTGTTGGACATCTGTGAGGAGGAGTTCATACTGCTGGGTGCCCAGATAACCAGAGAGAGAGCGTTGAATCAGCTTCAAGTCCAAGAGGCACAGGGCAGCCCTTGCCAGAAAGCTTTGGAATGAATGCCAGTTGAAGATGGCAGTACTACCTCTCAGTGATTTTAAGCTATTGGCGAGACCACTAACATCAGATACAAAAACTGTTTATTAGCCAACCTGGAAATGGCTTAATTCAGCCCACGTCCRTGCTTTACATGCAAACAACAGCAGRYACAGGGCRGCATCACTCCATTMACACAGGCTGAAGGTAAACATCCACTTGATCTAATGCTGATTTAATGCCAGTTTGCTCAGGTAACAGTTCCAGAACTAAGGAAAAATGCGGCACATTTTTGTTGTGTGCCACAGAAGAGCTCTCCCCAAGCATGTATTCCATACAGAGTTCATGCAGCTCTGCATGCAGCCCATCCATGCCAGAAGACATTGCCTCCCCTTGAGGGCACAGAGCAGCAGTTSACCCCCCTGCAGTTKTAATCCTTCCAGCACCCCTGAAGARGTACAARGCAAGCAGACTAAGGACCAATTTACTCTGTAGGCATTACTGGACTTTTGGGACAGCCAACACATCAGTGGGAACTCCATGGTTTTAGATTAGTATCAGTTTTACACTTGGACTAGGAAATACTGATAGCAAGACCATTTTCTGCATAGTGGAAGCACGAGGTATGAACTGGTGCAGGAGTTTGAATGTGCAGTCCCTGCAGCAGAGCATTCAGCCCTCCACCTGATGAAGATCTGGCACTACATTATACAGCAATTGGGGCAAAGAGCCTCATGAGTCAGTACCAGCAAGGAGTTCTCATGGCCAGAGAGTTTCTTCCAGTTGTGTAGCCATTAAGGCACGTTTTGGATCTATGCTAAGTTTCAGTTTAAACTAGACAGTATAAAAATGCTACTGATACTCTGTGGAGTCCAAGTCTTTTTACCCAGGGGGAGAAAAAGCCCTACTATAATAATGTACTTGCTAATATTAACGTTTAGTCTATAATTAGATAAGCAGTCTCAGATTTCACGTGGCCTGCATGGTTAAATCCGTGCCTGAAGAGAACGTTTTGATAAAAACACAGCTAAAACTCTTAACAAGATTGCATGTACAAAAGATTTACATTAAAACTACATGAAACTAAACTTCATAATTGAAGTCAAAGCCTGCATTCATATTCTGAGTGATCATTTCTAGAAATCTGAACCATGTTTAAAACTGTACATCATTTCCTGGTAATATACATCTCTTAGAAAGATCAGTCTCTTGATTATTACGATAAGTTTAGTGTGTCTGGTGGGTCAATGAGAGATACTCCGTGGTACCTAGAGGGAAAAAAAGAGGYAGGATATCATCTTGCTCCAGTGCACTCTCTACCACATAGAGCAGCATAATGCACTGCAGCAAAGTGCATTTCCCACCAGGCAAGCAACATTCTGGGGCCTGTTGGCTGCCATGCCCCACACAGATTTTTAGGAGCATTAGGTATCGCCAACTGTCGGAATGTCAAGAAAATTCCTCCAGTTTCTACCCGAACAGTTCAGGCAGTGATGGAACATTAAGTATTGCTTGACAAATCACTGTGCAAAAACCCAGGTAGTCTTGTCYCTTTTTCACTGAGGTGGATTTGCTTAGTTGAGTCTGCCTGAAGACTCAAAAGATACATCCCACACCCACACACCCTGCCAAGTTTGCACAACTCAGGCATAAGGCCTCCACAGATACTCACTTGGAACTCTTGTACTTTTCCCTTATGGACTGTTGTGAGTGCTGGGCTGCTTTGAGGTAGGTGTTGTGGAGGTCTATGAGGCAAGGCTTGATGTCTTCAAGGGTGTAGCCAGTTGCTTTACATAGGGATTCAGGCTGAGAGGAAAAAAGAAAGGGAGAGAGACATTGGAATGTTTCTGTWCACTTATGCTGATGACCACTGGTGGGATTTCTAGCTTCCTGTTTAAACCATATCACCCCCACCCCATTTTTCAAATGCCACAGGGAGCAATCCTTGATTAACAGGCTAGGAGCACAGAGGGGCTGCAATTCCTGCAGTCCAGCCCCAGCACTCAGGACTGTGTACAAATACAGTGAACACACAGGCAGGCGTGCAAAGGCTCCTGCTGGAGTGCTACYTACCCAGGTTTGTCCAGTGAGCGTGTAGTCTGCCAGATGAAATGCTGCAGCAGCAATAACTGATGGCAAGTATTTCAGRTAAGGATCAGCATCAATTAGACTCAGCTCCCCCAGGTACTGCAAGGGAAACGAAAAAGGGAATCTTCTACTTCCAGAAGTTAACAATTGCACTAGAGACCTAATTTAACTCCCCAAAAGTGCCATCATTTGCAGAGATGGCTTTTATTAATTTTCACTACTTTTAGCTTCTCCTGCTAGCTACTGTCAAACAGCATTCCCAGCACATGCTTACCCAGCACATTTTGCATTTAGGGAKATATAAGAACTAGAGGGAAGAGTGTAGTTGGGGTCTGACCTTTGCCCAGTGAGACAAAGCCTTCCATTTAGGAGCTCTGGTACCTACCAGACCACCAGGATTTATTAAAACTTTAGCTGAAATGTTATCTGTGCTCTGTTCTAGAAATTAGCCTCTGGATTCAGAGCTTGCTGCTTGTTGGGTAGAAAACCAGAACAAAATTCCTTTTTGCCAAACTGTGTGAGGGGGTGGATGTGGCAGCTGGAGATAAGAGAGAGGGAAACATCTATCTAGCAGTACAACAACCCCCAATTAATCTCTGCCTGCTCTGAGTAAAGGGTGCATGCTTGAGCCAGGCCAAGTGCCAGCCTCTGATAAGGATGGAATATCTCAAACAGAAAGTGGCAACAGGAATGTTAGTTCCCAGCAGTGTGGCAGCACTGCTGGAGGAGCACAATTCATAAAGTGTATATGTTATACATATGTGCAATAAATATCTGCAATGGACTTTTCTAATTACATGAGCTGAGCTGATAATTCTTMCTTACCATTGACAGGCTCTCCACTTTGGCATCTGTCTGCTGATGGATGAAGTACTGTGTGAGGAACTGRTTGATTGTTGGAGCAGCCAAGTCAAAGGACAAAACCTTCAGAATTAGGTGCTCCATCCTTAGGACCTGCTTCTTAGTGTAGGTGTCATCTGTGATGTAGACAAACTCAGCCACTTCAGGAGGGTAGATCTCTTCAAACTTTCTRCCAGGAGAAACATTTATGAGTAAATAATTGAGTACTAGAAAAGCAGATAACCACCACTGTTTAATTAATGCTCGTTTAAATTCTGACTTGGGAAGGAGCTGGAAACTGGTACCAAACAAGTTTGCTCCAGTTGGCTCAGTAGTGTTTRAATCAGCAAGATTTGAAACTAGAGAGCTACAACAGTGTGGCAATTTAGGACTAAGGAATTTAAGATTTGGGATTACTGAAACTCCAGCATAACCCACTAAACGAGTAATTGAGGTAAGCACAACTCTCTTTTCATATGTCCTATGCATATTCTCTCGAATACTGTTTAGATGCCTGCTGCTGCAGCTGGAAATAAGGAATCCTCACTCCAGGTCTATCTACAAAGATAGATACCTGCCAAGCTTTTAGGTCAATAACTCTCAATTTTTATCCCAGTGTGAAGCCCTCCCAAGTCAGTCCTGCTCTAGGCAACAGAWCAGTCACGAGATTCTCATCTGTATGAGACCAGCAGGTGGAATTTGAAATGAAGCAATTTCACTTACGATGCGAGCAGCATAGCTGCAGTACCCACAAGCTGAAGTTTTCCTCTCAAAACAGACATGGAAGAAAGAAACCTATCAATGTAATTTACAGCTAAGTGCAGGGTTTCGTTCTGTAATTTGTATTCTTCTCCAACTTCCACCAGCCAGTCCACAAGGATAGCCCGCATGTTGTTTGTGATATCCGGTTGCTTCTTCATGTAACCTATTTTTGGCTTGCATTTCACCTGTACATTTAAATGACAGATAAAGYTGAGTTTGGATCATGTGCTGGTAGGGAAGCAACTGTTTAAACTCTGTTTATCATAGTTTAACAAATCAGAAGTAAACACTGGGAAGTTTMAGATCACTAAGTTCTATTTCTGTAATCTTGCTTTCCAGCTTGTGCTGAAAACAATGGTACAATCAACTTTACCACAATAAACCAGTCTCATGCTCTTATTTCTCCATTTCTTGCAAGCTCTAATTTAGTCACTGTCATAGTAACTCATGTTTAGATGAATTTCTTCACCCCAAACCCTTCCCCCAGGGGCTCTATGCAAATCAGAAGAGACAGCAGCTCACCTCCATTTCCCTCAGGTATGTATGGATTTCGCTGATATAGTCTGGCACGTTGTTAACRTTTGGTGCTTTCTCGTCTGTGTCTGAGGTTATTGAAATATCCATAATACTTGGGGAATCTAAGCAGAGCATAACAGCCATGTTAAAAAGGGCACCATCACACCACAGGGAATCTTGTGCAGGCTCACTCAGCTGGACTGGGGTTTGAGGAGGCTCTATGGAATTCATATGTTACGGCTACAGGGAAGTTCCCCCTGGACAGAAAGTTGTCTTGCAATTATGTAGTGCTCAGTAGACCTCATGTTACCTTGTTACATAGATGTGGATCCTGGAAGCTTAGATTGTGAATTACAACAGGGATGGGGTTCCAGAGCTTTTTGTAGCCTGCAGGGGTGGATCACAGGGAAATCATCCCTCAGACATTCACACACATGCTACAGAAGATGGATCTGGTAGTTCCCATTTCTCACATATTGGGAAGTGCTCAAAACACTTGTACCACTACCCGGGAGAAAAACCTATTACATTTTGGGATCTGCCTGGGTAAAGTCCCCTTCTAACTCTGTAATGGTAGCAAAGGGCAAGGCTTTATGGGTTGCTCTTGTCTGTAATCTGGCTCATCTCATAAGGTACTGATATTAAAGTAATAAAGTATAAAACTGCCTAAAAGACCAGGGGATAAGAACACAGAGGCTCAAATTGAAGAGCTGTTGTATCATGGTGGCAGGCTCCAAGGAACCAAACTCGTCCGCGTCCCAAACTACAGCCCTGCGGTTAGCTCTGGRAATCATTCCCTGGGTGCTCCTCGGCGCTTCCTGGGGCAGAGCCCTGAGGGGGAGCAGGTGGGACGCGGCCTACAGAGCGCAGCAGGCCCGGCGGCGCTGCCGGGGGTGGCACGTACCGAAGCTCAGCTCCATGGCGTTGCCCAGGGGAGCCAGGGGCCGCCGCTCCCCCAGGGCGCACACGGCCTCAGGCAGCCCCAACGCCGCCTCCTCCTTCTGCCTCGCCGGGACGCCCCGCTGCCGCCGCGGCTCCCGCTCCCCATCGGGCTCGTCCACATGGATGGAGAAGGGCTGATGCTGCCGCAGCCCCGCCGCCGCTCCGTGGCCCTCGCAGCCGCCCCGCGCCGCCTGTGGGGAGAGCGGCCGTCAGCGCCCGGCCCTGACAGCTCCCGCCGCGCCGAACCCGCGCTGCCCCTTGCGCGTCCCCCCGCGTCCCCCTCACCTGCAGCGGGATCCCGGCGCGCTGCTGCGCCCCCCGCAGCAGCCCCAGCGCCACGCGGGTGCCGGCGGCGGGCGGCGGCGCCGCGGCTTTGCCGGCCGCCGGCGGGGGCACATTCTCCTGGTTCTCCTGCTCCGCCAGCATGGCCGCAGAGGGAGCGGGGGGCACGGCGGAGGGGACGGCGGGGCGGCGGAGGGACCGGGGCGGCGGAGCCGGGGACGGGCGCGCCTGGAGCCGCCCGCGCCGTTCAAGTAGCCCGCGACTCTTGAACCGCCCAATGGACGCGCGCAGCGTCAAGATCGCGCCGGATGGGGCGGGCGGAGGGAGGGACGGGCAGGACAGACAGACGGACAGAGAGAGACAGACACGGGACGAGGGCGGGCATCGGCGGCGCTGGGCTGCACCCTGGGCCGCGGGGAGGGAACGCGCCTGCCGGGGACAGCACGCCCCGCGCCCGCCCGAGGGACGAACGGAGGGAAGGAAGCGCCTCGGGCCTTCCCGCCGGGAAACGGGTGTGGAAAGCGTGCTGGAGCTTGTGCAGGCGGGCTCGGGAATGTGTCCCGGGAAGAGCGGCCGAGGGAGRGTGGGGGTTCAGTCTGGAGAASAGGAGRCTCGGGAGGGAGCTCATCACTCTTCAGCTCTCTGAAAGTGTAGGGAGGCGCCAGCAATGAGGGCATAAGGGGAAATGGMCTTAAGATGAGACGGGAGATTTAGATTATTAAAGAATTACAAGCCACGAAGCCACAATTCCCACCACCCAGCCCCGGGCAGGACATCGTCCACTGGACCAGGTTACTCAGAGCCCCATCCATCCTGGCTTTGGAACACTTCCAGGGATGGGGCACCCACAGCTTGTCTGGGCAATCTGCCAGGGCCTCACCACCCTCAGATTAGACAATAAGGAAAAAATTGTCACTGTAGAGTGGAAGAAGTTGCCCGAGGAGATGGTGGAGTCACCATCCCTGGAGTTGTTTAAGAGGTGTCTGGATCTGGTGGTAGATGATGTGGTTTAGGGGTTACAGAGTGATAATGGCAAGTTGATGCTCTCAAGGGTCTCTGCCACCCTTGATGAATCTATGCCTTTTCAATGGAGCTGGTGGTTTTTTAATTGTGGATAGATTTCCGTCTCCACATCCTGCCTCATCTCTTCTAATTTTAAATAGAACTGGGTAATAGGATAGGTGATGTTCTGAAATGAAGCACAGGGATGCTGGAGAAGCACTGAGGAAGTTTAATGCCATCCATTCCCAAACAAACGTGGCTCTAAATRGAGCTGTTGCCAGTCTGGAATTTGTAGTTCTCCCCACTCTATGCACACATCCAGCTACATCAAGTCTGGTGAAATTCTCATACCACAGTCTCAACAGGCAAAACTAAATTAGGTACAGCTTAAACACAATTTAAATTTCTTCCAAATCCATCCAAGTCTCAGGAACCCAGTTTCTTCATCCATTCTTGCAGCTGGGGGACAGGYTGCTCCATGTTGTCTTAAATAGTAGTGAAAACATATTTACCAAAAGGAAATTGGGTATTTACATCTGAGTTTTCTTCAGCTATTAACACTGTACATAGAATTTCTGCATACATATAACATACACAACAGTTTATATGAGATTTAATACTGTATCCTATATAATAAATACAAATAAAACCCAAGAGCTGACAGTACATCAAAAGAGTAAAACTGTTTTTTCTTAAAAAGTGTTCTGAACTTGATATTGAAGTGTTAAATGAAGAAAAATTACTCTGCTTTTTGTCAGGCAGCATCAAAAAAAGCAATCAATCCATCTTGATCACAGCCATCCAGAATTTCCAGAAGGAGAGGAACTTTGGTTTTCACATTGGTGCCTTTAAACTTAAATTTGTCAATGAAGAGATCTGTGATCATACCTGCAAAAGAAAAATTCCAGGAATTAATTTTCCATAGGAGACATCTCTTTAACTTTTAGCTCATGATTATGTTACAACTATTCCAGTTGCTAGAAAACTTTTCTAACTTCACATTTCAAACAATGGTTAAAAAGTCCAAACCATCTTTAACTATGTCCATAAAGACAAGGATCACCTAAGTATAAGCAGCTAACTATTCCAGCCATGTCTCTGGACATTAAGCCCCACTTAAATAAAGCTGAATTATCAACAAACCATAAAGTCTCTCGAGATGGGCAGGCTGTCTCTTGTATTCCTCGAGCAGCTGGTCTGCCTCCTCCAAAATGCTGCGGTATTTTGGGAGCAGGAARTCCACGTTTCCTTCATGAACTTGTAATTCCTCAAAGACAATTTAAAATCGTAAGAACTAACAGCAGGTAAGTACCAAAAGAGCATGGAAATAAGAATAAATTAGGCTTGGGTATGTCAGAAGGAAGTATTTGAAAGAGAAGCCTTTTAAAGACTGGCAAGTGTTATTTTCAGAGGGCCTCATTTTCTCGTCTTTTAATGAAATGCCAGATGTCATTTCCACTTCAGAGACTGGATTCTCAAAATCCTGTGTATTCCAGCTTCCAGCTCTGAGCCACAACAGGATCACACCATACAGACTCAAGCCTTGACCATACCTTCATTTTCAGAATGACTATATTCCTAAACAAGTGTAGCACATGCTGAAATCTGAAGGTAAAAGTAAACTCTGAAAGTATCACTCAGTTTGTGACAGAAAGSAAAAAGTTTTGAAAACCTCTTCTGAAGTGCTAGTCTATCACCAGCCCAATTTGGGATRGTCGATAGTATAGATATTTTTATCTTCTGTTCTAGACAAGAGGTAATTATGTTGTGCACTATGAGTCTGCTGSGACACAGTTTTCATCAATCATTAGATTATTTTATTGCCTGTCAATAAGTTATCATCCAAAAAGGAGTGACAAAAAATGTGTTGACGATTTGCTGTCTAAAAAAAGCCTAAAATCAGCAATATGTAGAAAAGATTAAAAAGCAGACAATTCAGAAATTATGAGGCAGTGGTATGAAGTTCCAAAGCAAAGAAGTTGTATCGGGGGTGGATGATCTAAAAAATTATAAATGCTGGAGGAAAGAGAGACAGACGGAGCTGGAAAATAACAGCCGGCTAGAAGAGAACATTAGATGATAAAGYTGGCTGCCTTTCTACTGTCCAATTTCAGCATCCTCAACATCAGTCACTAGCCCAACATGCTACTCACTAATTATATAGCAAAAAAAAAGGGAATTTTCCTTGAAGAAATATGTCTCCTGGAGACTTATAATATATACTTTAATTTAATTTAAGGAAACAGAAAGGCAACAGATCCGCACATGACACACATGTGACTTGAGCCATGGTTTGGTATCTGACAGTATCATCTCTCCTAAAAATCARACCASAAGAATTCAGATACTTACTCTCAAAGCATCTATTAAATGAACCTTCTTGGCCAGCAGCTGCTGATACTCTAATTTAGGGTGAATCAGCTTTAATGTGTGCCTCACAGATTCTTCATTTACATCTAGCAGCGASGAAAAGAAGAACCCAAACAAGCAAATGAGTACTACATATTCCATTTATGGGAATATCAAATGAACTGAAGGACAAAAAGATAGAGAAGGAATGTTTACCATATGATATGTTGAGATTAATCTTCCTTTTAGTAGCCTCTTTGGAAAGCACATCTTTGAGGATGGATATTGTGGAGATGTTGTCAGACTTAAAATATCCCTCACCTTTTCTACAAAGGAAGAAAAATTTTAAGTGAACAAGCTCAAACACATATGCATTTATTAGATGTAGTAATTGTATTTTACCTGTATGTAGTTTCGAGCTGTGTTCCCAGGAAGGTGTTCTGAAAATAAAAAGTGATGCACTCTCCAGCAGGAGTCTTTTCAGGCACCTCAGGCAAGCAAAACACAACCCAGGAGTGAATTTCAGCAAAACTGAAYTGGCCTTTGAGTATCAATGTATTCATGGGCCTGTGACATTGTGAAATGAAAAGAGAAAAAGGACAGTTAACAGTTAAGAAGGAGGAACACTGCCCTTATGAAAGAAGTTTAGYTGTACATGGTGGCTTCTTTTCAATCAGCACCCTGTAAAAAGTCAGGTCTCTAACTAGGTACAGATACTGCAAGTTACAGCTACTTTTCTGTACTTCAACATACAAAGCTACGTGCACATTCAGGTTTGGTTTCCTACCAGGCATGTCAGATCTGGGAAAAAAAACTAGTTGGAAGTTTTTGATGTCCTGTTTCAAGTTGTTAAACCTGAAATTTAGGACRAAGGTAAATAACTGACAGCAGCAAATATGACTAAGAGAGAGCCTCAATAGCCTCCCGTGCTGTAAACCTCAGACACAGCATTTTTATCAAGAACAAGGCAGAGTGGAGCTCATTTGCACATTGAAACTGTTGGCATCATCCCTTTAGTCTGTCCATTTTGCCTTGGAGGCAATAACTGACGGTGGGCAAAAATCAATTCGAAATTACATAAAATACTAAATTCCTATAACAGAGAGATCAAAGGAAAAAGAGTCCTGGCTCAGTTTTGGGGCCAAATTAGCTGTGAGAAAAAATTTAGAGGAAAAGGGTGGAGCAGAGAATGAGGCTGAAACTGAAAAGACACAGTTAGCAACACCAGAGTGTTTCCTTTCTACCACACCCTCAGCTCTACACATGGGGCTGCACTAACTGAGGGCAGTAAAATCAAAAATAACCCCAAAACATGAATGGCAAGGAACCATTTCATCTGAATTTTCTATTAAGAAACCCATAAAATGGAACTACAGGCTCAAAACTGTGGATTAGGGTTTAGAAATTACACACTTAAATTTACAGAGCAAACGTTTCAGCTGGATTATGCCGTTTTTTCCAAGTGAAAAAAGGCATTGATTTTTCTTGGCAAGTACCTGTCCTGGTCAATAGAATGAGTTCTCTGATGAAGTGAAAGTGGTTTAATTTGATATTGATGAACTTGACAGGTTTTTGGTTGAATTCTTGGAGTTACATATGCCTGAAGTGTCCCGTACTGCCCTTCAATCGATCGAACCTGCGACAGAAAAGAATCCACAGAAAAGAAGGAAAGGGAGAAGATTATTTTACCACTGTTTGGAATTTTGATGAACATTCAGAGTATGTTAAAGGAAGCTTGTGGTATTTCAAGAACATTTTGAGTACTATGTTTATTTAGTAGTGCCACTATAAATAAAGCAAATGAGTTTTAAAACTGAATGGAGCAGTGTCCAGTGAAGTGTTGCTGTATCAGATGAATCARATATTAATCAAATAACACCCACTATCTCATTTTCTGA